TATTAAGTCACAGAGAGTGTGGCAAAGATGTCTCAAGAATCCCCACACCCCACTCACACCTCTCGCTACACACCCCACTCACACCTCTCACTACACACCCCACTCACACCTCTACACTACACTACCCTACACAGAGGTGTGAGTGGGGTGTATAGTGAGAGGTGTGAGTGGGGTCTACCTGGAGGGGTCTACCTACCTGGAGATGGGTAGACCCCACTCACACCTCTCACTATACACCCCACTCACACCTCTCACTACACACCCCATTCACACCTCTCACTATACACCCCACTCACACCTCTCACTACACACCCCATTCACACCTCTCACTATACACCCCACTCACACCTCTCACTACACACCCCACTTACACCCCTCACTGCACATCTCACTTACCTCTCACTACACACTTGACTCACACCTCTCACTACACACCCCACTCACACCTTAGCTCAGTGGTCATATCATTTGACTCAAAGGTGTAGGATCCCAGGCTCAGTACCCAAGCAAGTCTCCTTACATTCATCTACCCCATTTCACCTAGCAGCAAATCTTGCATGTAAATCAACTGTTGCAGGTTGCATCTCCATATGGGGGGGGGACTTGTGCTGAGGCTTGTGAGGGGATCTTGATCTCAAGAAATGGAACTATCCTTCCCATTCTTTCTATCAAATTTGGTTGCCTCCAGGCACTGAAAAACTCCTATAAGTTTAGTGTTTCCCCTGTGACTATAATTTACGTGGCATTCTGCAGGAAAATTTTCACTGCAGATGTATGAGTAACTCCAGTCCTGCTGGAAGTGTTCAAGTGTTTGGTGAAAGGCGCCTCACACACACTGTGTCACATCTGATGGTGAAAACTATTTGAAAAGCATAGCTTGCATATATATAACACTGATGGTGTCCCTGAAATACAATTGTCATTTAGAATAGTGGCTGCATACTGTGGGTGTTACCATAGTGTAACTATTATTTAGAATAGGGTGGCCACATACTATGGGTGCTACCAGTGTAATTATCGTATACAGTCGTCATCAGTTTTGTCGAATAAAAAAAATATACAGGTGGCCCCACTTTACAGCATTTCACTTTACTGTATTTCGCTAATGCAGCAGTTTTCAGTTAATACCATTCTTTATTTATTCAGACTTCCTACAATAAAAATAGAGTGGTACCCTGAGTTTTGTACTGCTCCCAACTCAAACAATTATGTAAGTGTATTATTGTAAGTGCTTTTGTAATTTTATTTTTGGGGGTCTGAAACGACTAATCTAATTTACATTATTCCTTATGGGAACAAATTCGTTTGGTAACAGCACTCGAACAGCCTTCTGGAACAAATTATGTACGAAACTCGGGGTACCACTGTATTCACCAATCACTATAAGCAAAGGATGAAAATATTTTCAGGTAAGTAATGTGTGTGAAGATTGAGACACTTATGCAACATATGGGAATCTTTATTCCCATATGTTGCATAAGTGTCTCAATCTTCAACTCGTAGGTTTTTCAAACCATTCATCACAAGTAATGTGTGTACTGAATATGCATTTTTTAAGGCCTAGCTCTGTTACTCACTTAATATAGGATAGTGTAAACATGTTATCAGGCTTTTATGTGCATTTGAAACTGAAAAATGGCTAAGTTTAACTTTACGGCAATTTTTGCTTTACAGGAGTCGCCTGGAACCTAACCTGCTGTATAAGTGGGGTCTACCTGTATATGATTTTCAACCTTTGCCTACAGCACTGCTGGTGTTGTATGTACCTGTGGCTACACTGGGCTACCTGGAGTTTGGCGAAGCTGTCAATGTGAACATCCTTCTGTCTGTGCACGGTCCAGCAGTGACAGTGGTCAGGGTGCTGATGCTCATCAACAATGTCTTCACCTACACCATCGTGGTCAACCCACTATCACAGAACATGGAGGAGGCACTGGCACTCCCACATGGTAGGTTGGCACTCCCACATGGTGATTGTAAGACTACTTGGCTTTTCTCTCTCTTCTGGCTACTGACATTCTCCTTTTTTTTCCCCCACTTGAAATTTCTGTTTAACCTACTGATAAATTGTTGTAGTATAGACTGTTTATTATACTTATTTACTTCTTTTCTTTTTATTTTCTATGTTGAACTTAGATCTACCTCATATTAAGAATTTTTAAAATTCAGATTTAATTATCGGTCCATAATGACACACAAAACTACTTTTTTTGAGTGTCATTATTTTTTTTTCCTCAAACTTTGGTTTAAGTTTGAAGGGAACTTAAGATTTTACAGGTGATTTAGATTTTGAAGAGAAATGCTTCTATTGCTGCAGTACAAACACCATGAATTTTCCGTAAGTCTCTTTGGTTAAGCATAAGCTGGACACACTGCCTAGCAGGTGGAGACTTAAAAACCGATAGTTTTATGCAAATTATAATTTTTAGTCCATTAACACAGTGGGAGATTTATTGCGTGCTATATTACAAGCAGGAAAATTGGGTATATGGTTCCATAGCCCTAAGTGTAATTACTGAGTTTCACATAAACGTAATGTGTGTAATTATTTACAGTATAATAATTAATGTAATAAATATTTTACATGCGCGTTTAAAACTGTCAGGTGCTGTGTGCTAATTTGCATAAGATTGATGTACATTATACAGTTTTTAATGACTGACACATATAGATGTAATTATCTCGTGTAAAAGAGTTGATGTCATTTTGGCTGTTCGGTCGTCTGATTCGGGTGATGCCATAGGGTGAGGACATCATTGTGCTCCACTGATTATCTTGAAGGGAAGCCTTGATGCCGGTGAAGGGCTCTTGATACATGGATTAGGTTTTCTGGATATCTCTAGATAATGTCAGGTCGTGGTGTGGTCGTCAGGAGCCATGACGAGGTCTAAGGCTTCTTTCCCGGGGGAAGAGGAACACCGTACTGGACTTCGGCTTTTGGTTCCTCAATGTTACCTCGATGGCACGAGACTCTTCATAGGCCGCTGATCTCTTCCGATAGGCTTCTCTGAAAGAGTAGGAGGGGATAATTTTAGGTCAGGTATACTTAAATAAAATCATCATACCCTAGTAACATGCATAAATTGACCCTAGGATAACCCCAAACGTCAAGTGCTATTTCCATTGGGTTCTTGTAATAATCTTAATTAAAGCCTAGCAGTAGAATAAGTCATACTTACAAGCTAAAAAAAGCAAACAAAATTGTGTGAAAATCAGTTTACAATAAAAGAAGATAAATAGGGTTAAAGTAGTTACTATTATTTACACGATTAGAAGCAATAGAGTTACAGCTTAATCTACAAATAATGTTAGAAATACCTCGAGCCTAGGACCCCTGAGCTACATGTTGACGGTCAGCAGTACATGGACCTACCAATTTCCATATAGAGGTGTTTCCATTTCCCAGACTAATTTTGCTGTATAGCTACCCACCTTCACACCCCGATATGGGCAATACAACATTGGTCAACTCTGCTCGGTAATAAACTTCTATTCTATTAAACCTAGGATAGGTTACTGGCCCGTCTTCTGTCATCAGTGCCGAGGTTTGGAGGACTCCTCTCTTCCCGCCTTCACATTGGCCCCACTCGTCTTTACTCATGGTATCTCATTAAGAGCACCCAGTTCCTCTCTGTGAGAATGTCCCAGGTGGTTAGTTCCAAGTATCGATTAGCCACATTCTGTAGAACTGCCCTCTATCAACGAGCACGCAGAAAATACCTCCAACGTCCGTCTCCGCACTCCTACTCTCTTTACCTTCCCTTCCTTGCTGATGGACCCTCCTTTTAATCCTGACTCTCTCATTGACTTCTGACAAGCGACTTTACGATCACAAACTCGGATGAACCTTTCACACACCCCTCACCCTTTCTACCATGCATCTCTTGCTGCCTCAACCCTTTCACCATCCACTGCCCCGTGTTCTTCGTAAACCTATTACTCGTCCATCTCCTTTTTGCCACCTGATACCCACGCTTTCCTTCCTGCCCTGCAGTGGCTGTATAGCTCTTGTGGTTTAGCGCTTTTGATTAAAGAGAGGGTATTACTTCAGGGCATGTGGCGAGGAAGGATGTCTTGCTGCTGGCGAGGGTCTCATGATCCAGGAATAAAAGCTACCTCCACTCCTTCCCCCTCCTCGATATGAAAAAAAAACACCTGTGTGTCTCCCATTACCTTATGTGGTCTGCATGACCCCTACGAGTTGAGCGCTTCCCCATAAATATTGAAGGGGAAACTGCAATATGAATTAAGGAAGATAATCCAGGATAACAGAGAACCTAGGATAACACAGAAGACCTATGATAACTTAAGATGATCTGCCATAGCAGGATAACAGACAACTCAGGATATCCTCACCTGTATTCATGACACTGCAGCCTGCGGCGGTGTTCGTCAGCCAGCTGGACGAGCTGCAGTCTTTGCTGTTCCTGCTGGTCCAGTGCCGCAGCCGCAGCCTCCACGCGTGCCGCATGCTGCCGCAGAGACGTGTTATATACGTGCATATTAAACTCATTCAGTATGGAAGGATGCCTTGATAATTGTACAAGACTCATGATTCACGGAGGTGACTTGGTAAAGCTATACACAGTGAAACGTGCTTAAGAAAGCTTGTTGGTAAAGCTATACACAGTGAAACGTGCTTAAGAAAGCTTGTTCTGCAGCGTGTCTCTCACACACACCTGTTCATCCATGTGTTTACACACACCAGTTCGGCTTTGGAATCTTGATCACCTTGAGTATACGACGGTAATCTAGTCTCGATAATCAACTTACTGGTCATCGGGCCGTCGGAACGCGCAATTACGTCTTAACAGCTTATTAAACGGTTTCGTTAATGGCCGAGGTAAATTTGATGATCGTTTAGCCTCCTTGTAGTTGTTAAATACCTCTACTAAAGTTACTGATTAGACATCGTCTCCTTTAAAAAAAAGCCTAGCCCCAGTTCCCCGCGGAGTCTATCCCTACTGAACTTTGCAGCCTTTATCTGCAACTGTCCCTTCAAGGGCTCACAGCTAAGAAATTATACTATCGTCCCAATCTTTTGGATCAGATTTAATTAACCTCGTATGCATCAGCGCTGTAACTTCCGGTTAATTGCTTTCTCCATGAATTAAATTAATACTGTAGTTAATGATATGATATTTCTCCCGTTGTTCTCTCTCCACTCCTTCTCCACAAACAGTCCATCCTCCCTTAGAGCCCTAACCACAATTCTAGTACAGGCTATAGCCCATCCACGGGGGGGGAAAACTACAGTCCATCTCAACACCAAGGAGTATGGCAAGGCTATTACCTCAAATACACCCCTCACTCTGCCTTTTCACACCCCTTCCTTTCCAGCACCCTTTCCTTCATTCACTATGTATACGTCATCCCTCTGTCCCTGCCATAATTTTCCCTCTCAGATCGCCAGTTCCCCTCATCCTTGACTACCGTCGATTACGTCTTTAGTGAGGGGAAACAACAGAAAAACAACAGCTCTTACATAGTCCAGTTTTGATATACTCCACATAGTAATAAATTATAACCTGAATAGGCTTTGAATTACCTAGGCAAAAAACCATCATAACTTTTCTCATTACCACTACTGTCATTCTCCGTCATACTCGGCACATTTTCCCAATTTATTTTTTCAAAAGCTACCTTGTATCTCAATGGTAAGGCGTTGTCGGCACTACCCAAACGGCGCAAACATAAACACATATACCCAAACGACCTGATTCTACCCTAACGAGCGAAAACATAAGGGTACCTGCTACCCGTTCACCTAACTATATACATAGTCGCTTGTTGTTTAATCATATCCATGTGAATAACCTGAGGACCTCAAAAAAAAAGTAACTTTACTGCCTGGCTTTCTTGAGAATCTGGGTTAGTAACCGTCTGGGGGAGATTGATAGATCTAATAATTTCTTTAGTATAAACTCGAAATATAATAAGTTTAAATATAACAGGCTCCTAGCATCATTATCACACCAAGAATATTCGAATTCTTACACTTAGTGTACGATGCTCTTTGGATTATGTATTATTAAAATCAAGGGGAAAGCGCTAAACCCGAGGATTAATACAGCTCCTGGGGTGGGGAATGTGGAAGGCTTTCGGCTTAATTCGGGGAACTGGAGCACAGATCCAATTCCCTAAATCAAGAGTCCCTCAACCAACATCAAGGAACCGTTCCTTGAGCGAACATAGTATATCACGAATTCACAAATTAATACACAAAAATTAGAAATGAAAACTGACAATTATCAAGACGTTTCGGTCCATTCTGGATCTTAATCTCGTCGCGATTGAAAAATTAAAAAATTTGTTTTTTTTTTGTTGACATAGTCCCGTTTCAGATAGTTTTCCCAATTAAGTGTCATAAAACATTAACAATCAACCCTCAATTTTAAAATGGGGTTTCAGAGTCCTCTTAGACGAAATGGAGCTACCAAGGCGATATTGCAGTAGCATCTGTCGTTCACTCCTCCCCCAGCTCAACGACAAAGATAGAAGGATTTTCCAGGCTCTGAATAACGTGCTAGAATTCGTGTTGTAAAGAGGCCAGTCGCCAATTTTTTAAAAGAATACTTTTGGACTGTCATTCATTGTTGAGTGTGGATGTACAACCACAAGCACCGTGCTCTGTCGTCCCTGAAGGGACGGACATGAACAAGTTGCTAGTGGCCTGGAAAGACCACAGCCACTGCTGTGTCCCTTCACGGGAAGTGCTAGTCCCCTGGACTGACCACAGTGTGTCCCTGTCGCCTTGAGAGGAAAGGTGTTTTAATGTGGGTAAAGTGTTACTGATTCAAGGAATTTGAGCCCTCTTTAACTGGATCAAAATCTCATTCCGTCCATATTCCCTATGCGCTGTTTAACCTCTACTGGTGTTATTAGCTCTGAAACCGCAAGGGTCATACAGGTCCTGGAAGACGAGGGTAATCCTGTGAGTTAGTGAAGTTTTAAGAGCCTTGGTAAGAGGAAACAACGTACGGGGAAAGACGACGCAAATCACTAAAATGAAATTGATGATGAGGAATAATTTTGTAAGGGTAAAACAGTGGAACAAACGTCCCTTCAACTCTCCAAACAGCCATTTAACAAATCAACTTGCCCTAAATGACCACTTTCCACCCTTCACTTAGCCTTATCTCCCCTCGTCGGTCCTCCATTCCCACTTGTTCTCACCTACTCTCTTCCCCTGCCTCAACACTCTCCATATTTTCTCTCAGGAGCTTAACAGTGCATTTTAAACTACAGAAGTTTCCTAATAAGCGGATGTAAACGATCGCTTATATAAGTTTTTTCGTCATGAATGCCTCTAATTGGAAGGAAGACCAAGGACCGCAATCATTGACCAGTTGAGCAGTAATATACGTCCGTTGGACGCCATGATCAATGAAGCATTACCACTGACTTGTGTACCGCTTCATCAGTGACCAGTAAACTGTGCGTGGACTTTATTACTTCCTTTAACCGTCTTTAAATCAGTGATCTTTGACCTGAGACCGT